TCATAAAATGTGCTGAAATGTAATATTTTTATTTTGCTATCTATGAATTTTCATCTCTCTTCAACAGACAATCAGGTATTAGCAACTTATTTGCAAATCAAAACTTCAACTTTTAAAAGTTGGTCTAGAAGCTCATTAAGTAACAGAAATTTCTGATTTCCTACAACTGTAAAATTCTGAAAAATTTAAAAGGCAACAACAATTTAAGAACAGGATTCCTTAATCTTGCATACTTTCCAGTCAGTATTTCTGACTTGGTAATTTTCTTCCAAAAATTAGGCGCTTGTGATGTGTAAGATCTTCAAATAATACCAATTTTGATTATAATTATAAAAAAACAGAAAAGGGACGCTGTTAGGAAGCTCTCTGCCGCGGCAATTATTGTGTAACTATATATGACGAATCTGAAATGTTAACCTTGCAGCACTCAATTACCATAAGTTCCCATCATGTTACAAAGGAGACACTAATGAAGTGACACTGATACATCAGGGTGGTCATTTCAATGATTTTTTTCTCCTTACAATTTCTCAGAGGATTTATCCTGCGTTTTCTTCCGAGAATTATTTCTTTTCCGGCAAAATTACATTAATACAATCATAAACTTCACGATTCTTTCTATTGCCATTTCAAGTTTGAAATTTATTGAGTAACAATGTTTTGCTTTGTTGGGAAATGGTGTCGGTTGAAATACGAACTATTCCCGGTACTGCACTGGAGGTGATGAATTTCATTTGCATACAGATGAAACCAGTGCAATCATTGGCTACCAAAGAAAGTAAATGCTATATTAAGGGGAATTCTGTTTTAAGTGTTTTTTGCTGCTAAATTTAAAGATGCATTCAGATTATCAGAACTGTCTATCATTCAAAGTAACGTGTCTCGTGTTGATGTTGCTACTATTGTACGGGAACTCCTTACATGAAAAAGGATATCAGTCGTTGGCTCTAGCTTCTTTAACATTTGATTATTTGTTACACCAGTTTCCACAACTCTCCAGCCTTTACTATTCATGAAGTATGTTGTCAAATTTCTTGAAAGTAAAGATCAAAATTCATTTAAATAAAGCACTGGCTAATTTTACTGTTGTTCTGTCATAGCTACAAGAGCTCGCTAATTAAGTGTTTGGTTACGGTTCTGTCCTTGTCATATTATTATTTCACATTGGCCAAACAATTATGTTTAAAATTGTCTGGATAAACCACAGAATTTATTAGCGCATATTTGGAAAAGAAATTTTTGGCAATTTTACATCCCCAATTTCATTCCTTTCATACGGCTAATATCGGAGAAGTGCAGCGAAGTGGTAAGCGAGTAAGCTAATTTCTTCCTGTGTGTGTGCTCAAATTTGAAATTTTAGGAGAAAATTAGACACATATTCATTAGTGTCTGTCTGTCAAGGCTGTATGTGTGTGTGTGTGTGTGTGTATGTTTGTATGTGTGTGTGTATGTGTGTATGTATGTGTTTGTATGTATGTGTGTGTTTATAGTTGTATGGAAGATTACGGTAATGCGCTATTAGGGCCTAATAAAGATAAGGGAAGGAAGGAGAAGGCGCGATGGGAGCTTGCACGGCTAAAGTAAGACTCGGTGAGAAGTGTAGTTTGTTAAGTTTGATTGGTGGTAAAATAGAGAATTAGAAAGAGGAAAAAGTATTTTAGATCCATTGAAAAATTTTTGCAATAATCGGTTTGGAAGCTTTTAACTGAAAAGAGAGAAAGGAGGGCCGCCGAAGCCAAAGCCTAAACAAGCCGTTTGAAATAATTATGGTGACTGCTTCGGTTGATTGCAATTTAGGCCAAATTTGCCTTCTCTTAACAAATATAAACCCATTCAGGGTTCGTGCTATCCTATTCAACCAAATTTCAGGATGCTCTAACTAGACTTCCGGATAGAGTAGGTGAGGTGTGCTAGATCTGTAACCGTGATATTTGCAAGTGAGAGGAGAATGAAGGAATGATGATAGAAAGCTCTCACCATTAGCACCGCAGCCCAATATCCGGTAATTTCGGACCTTAGAGGAGTTACTGGTGCATGAGTAAGATTAAAGCCATTTCGATAAATAATTATTTTATTATAAATAGCTGCTAACTGGGCCCACACTCATAACTTTTAAATTTCAAGCTTTAAGCTCCTAATTTTGATTTCATTAAGTGTTGAGAGTTTTCCTCTAATGGATAGCGCATCATTTCGTTCCTTCACTTCAGTCTCATTCATCTCTTGATAGCTGTTGCATGCTTCAAACTCCAGGAATATTTTTTTTAGACTTCTTTCCTGTCATATTTTGTTATCACAAATAATTTATTGAAAATTGAGCAATCTCGATGATTCTTCTATTGAATCTGGTCAACGACGTTACTTCATTTTGCGTTATTTTTTCTTACATCTGTTAACTTGTTACGGTCATGTCAGAGGATTCTCGCGTTTCTTTCTTTCAATTTCAAACAGTGGAAATATGCTGATTAAAATCTAAACTTTTTAGTATAAATTGTATAAGGCTAAACTCGGTGCCGCATTCCAACAATAACAATTGCAGCATCAGTAACGACAACGACAACAGTAAGTGGCACAAGTTCCGACCGTAATTTTAATCTGGTGTGTGAATTCCTGTATCAGTAGAATTGTTCAAAAAATTAGCCCATCACATTTAAAAGTAATGACTAGAGAGAAAATGTAGAAATTTTGGCCATATACAGTTTCAGTATTTGTGAAAGAGATGGTTTGAAATGTGATGCTGCTTTTATTGAAATCCGCTTTTATTTGAAAGTATCTTTGATTAATCAAACCTGTCATACTTTTAATAATGACTGCGCATGGCCAAAATGCAGTGAAGTCATAAATCTTGCACAATGAAAACCTTTTACTTTTACATTTTCGATTATTATCCAGAGATCTTATCTATGATAAGGATATTTCATCATTAGAGTAACTCTAAAAAAGCGCCCCTTCATGTTCTCTTATTGGTCCAGACTTTTTTTTTTTTTGAGGTTTTTATAGCGCATAATCACTGTTTCTGGCAATTCTGTACGTCTTATTATTATCATCACATACGGTTGTGTACGGAAATTGGTAGAGAAGAAGGTATGGTGAAATGTATAATTATTTGCTAATTATAACACATAAACTTCCCTATCCCTTTTCTGCCGAGCAATTTGATTTCATTGTATATTTTGCATCAAATGTTGTAATTATATCTTCCTTGAAATATCAGTCTTTAAAAAGTTATTCAAGTTGACTTACATAGACGAAAATGTTTAATTGCTATAATACAAATCCTTTCTTTCATCTATCACATCTGAGCACCGACTCATAATCGACTAGTTCGATTCTTAGGTTTAACAGTTAGGAATAATCGTATTGCTCATACTTTTCCTTTTTTTTTTCAATTTGTATGTTTCTCTTAAAGAAAGTGAATTGTTACACTGTCAATTAAGAATAGTTCCTTAGTTACTATTCCACGAAATTTTCGAAACGTATTGGAAATGGAAGGAGAGCGGTAATATTTTTTCCAATTTACTTTTTTTAGCTTATTTCTCATCGGATGCAAATATATGGGATATATGTTTTTGTTGCGTAATAACATTCCATTGCTTAGGCCATTTGTCGTAATCATCATGACCATCATCATCATTATATTTAACTTTTATTTAATTTTAAGTTATACTAACTTTCGACCGCCTTCCAGACATTTTTTGAATTAAATTTTGAAATTTCAGCGCCAGATTCTGATAGAGTTGTAGGGAAGTGGAGCTTTTTCTAAGAACTATATGTTAGAATTGAATAGGTACTTATCGTTATCGTTATCACTTTGCAAGAAACAATGGATTTGATCGCTATAACCAAAAGGAAGGGAATGAATTGAGAATAACGTGCTGAAATTCACATATTGCAACCAGGTGTGCTCAATACATCTTTTAACCTTGGAAACACCAGTTGAGAAGAACAAACAACCCAACACCGAACTTCAGTAGCACAATTTTTCAACACCAGAGAGGAAGATTTAAGTACAATAAAATCTTGTTGCACTAAGCGAGTTTCATCGACGGTGAAATTTATGGGATACTTAACAAATCATAGATTTAAGATAATGTTGAAAGTTTTATTTAATGATAACATTTCATCTTCTGCCGGCTGGTTGTGAAATGGAACCAAATGAGTCATATGCTTTGTGAATTCAAAGGTGAATGAAATTTAATTTGGAACTATTTCGGTTAGAAAAATTGAGAATACTCATCCAACCATAATTCTGAAACTACAAAATATAAAACCCTTCTTGAAAGGTGTGGGTTATCTTAACTTTTATACGATGATTTTAGGACGGGACTATGGACGAAGTTGGTCCCTCCCTGAATAAGTGACAATCAAACAATCAGGTGAAGGGCGCATGCATACACTGCATATGCACACACAAAAACACACACATACGTACATACCACGTACACACACATACACGTACATACACATACACATATATACATACACGCACACACACATATACAGACAGTAACAGCGCGACGCGCATGCACATAAACATACACGCGTAGAACCAGCCAGATGTGTATTAGTAATGTTTATACAGTGCCTTTAGCTTGCACATTAACACACAACTCAGACTAATAGCTTCCATAGTCCGTCATCAATGGAGATATTTACCCTTTTGTAAATATTAAGCTGTCATCGTCATTAGCACTATTGCAATGGTACTGATTGGGCATGACAGCCACATTCATTTTGCATCCTTTTCAGTCTTCTTCTCTTTCAATTTGCATATTCTATTACCATTTGAAAAAAATTAAGACCAAATAAACAAAAATAGTTCAACACAAACTTCAAACAGTCACTTTTCGAATCTTATTTCATCTTCCATTAGTTGTGTATTGCAAATTTTCTTCCCATAACATATCACCGCTTTTTTGAACTTTCTAAAAGAGTTCCATGATTCGATTCTCATATCCGCAAAATAGACTTTTAATGGTTTAAATCAAGTTAGATCACTTCAGATGATTCATTTGCGAAGGAGTAGTGAAGAATCCAATCCATTATGTACTGTATTCCAGATAAGTCTCAAAGCACAATTACAAGCAAAAAATGGAAATGTAAAGTTTCAGGTGCTTTTGGAAGGATGTTTTGGTCATATTGGAACAACTCCAGCAGAGCGGAAATGTTCTTCCAAAGTGATTGCTGAGTTTGAAGAGAACCAAACATACTCAATCGGTTTGAAACCTATTGAACGGTTTATTTTTAACAGTGTATAAAATACTTGTTTATTCTGCGTGGAAGGAGTAGAATAAAGTTGGGTGAGATGATTGAGAAGATGGTCACGAGCTTAAAAGGTTGACTGGAAAAGCTAAGCGAGGTTAAGAGGTTAATGAAAATAGCTAACTGCGCAGAACGAACTTCTTGTAATTTCTGTGTTTTTTTTATAAATGGGATATTTGATAAACAAAAAATATCACTTTATTTCTTTCCTCTTCTGCGCGATTTCTATCCATTTTGAAAGACGTCACTTTCAACGTTGGCATTTCAATCCATAATACGATTTTGTCCAACGTAGTGAAGTCACTTCTGGAAGATGAGTTACACAACTTACTAGGTAGGTGTAGTGATCAGTGAGAAGTTCATGTAATTCATTATTTCTTCTAAAAAAGGAACTCAAAACACTAAATAGATTAACATTTTTAGCAACAGCTTAGCTTTTCCGTTCATTTCTCCTTTGCTGCATAATTTCTTTCCATCAAATCTAAAACTTTATTACAATTTTAAGTTTTAAAAGAGTAATAGATGTTATTCCGGACGATAGGACATACAAGTGCCTAAATATATTTCTTCCCATTCACACTAGTCCTATTCTTCTTCAAACTTGACCCTATCTTTCCATCACTGTATCCCAGCGGCAAATCTCCCATTCTGTGTTTCGTTTTTCTCACTCCATGTATGTTTCCTAACTCTTTTTCAAAACCAAGACGCCATTAATTACTAATTATGCAAATATTGAAACTTTCATTCAAATTATTTCCTGAAAATTTGCATAATTTGCAGCACCAGTGATTCGTTACCGTCCTCAAATACAGTATTTTGTGGTTTCGGGACGAAGCTAAGACCTGACGGTAATAGTGGAATCATGGACATGAATCGTCTTTTGCAACGGACGATGATTCTGTCAACGGATACTGATTTCACGACGAACAGGATTTTACAACGTGTTCCGATGAATTTGATGAACGGTTCTACCCAAGGGCTGGTGTCAACTAACACAACCGGTATGTGCTACCTCTAATTCTAGCAAAATTTTTTCTTGGATCTTTACTAGCTCTGTGGAGTATTTTGAAACAGTGTGATTTGGCAGTCATCAAATTTGATTTGATCGGTCTGTACTAATCTTTTATGCATCTAACAATGTTTTGAGATATGAATTTCACTCGTGATATCCATAAATCACTAAGCGTGTCCATTGTCCATCAAGGAGATATAGCGGTGCGGTTACAAAAATATCGGAAATATGAGCAGAAGTTAACTTGAATTCACGAATGAAATGTATCACTGATGTATGTGATAGAGGATTCCAGTGATCGATTTTAAGAGAAGTTCTGAAGGATCAAAAGATGTTGAAAGCAGGGGGGGGGGGGAGGGGTGTTGAGTGACGTTAAACATCATAATCATGGATAAATTCAGATAAAGATGAAAACTAAGAACTTTTAGTCATAAGGATTTAGGTTATGTAGAGGAATTTGGCGTAGATGCCGTGAAGAACTGTTCCCTTTCCGAGGGAGATGATGAGAAGACGCAGAGATTAGACAATGAGATGACTTAATTTACGGCTTAATTGAAATATAAGACTCATTACATATTTTCATGTTGTAATAAATATATATTCCTATAGCGTTTATATTTTCTACTGCTACTTGGTTCAAGTTAAAAGCAATTTTAATTTTCTCTACTTCGGAAAGGCTGTACCAAAGGTTTTGAAATTTCTATGGTAAAAAATCTCAAAATAGATAATCATCTCTGAGTCTTGAAAATCTTAATGAAGGGCTTCGCTGCAATGCATTTATTAAGAAATCGGTTTTCAACTACCATCCGAATCTACATATTTTTTGAACTAGTCTTTCAGAACGCAATCAATTCTCTCTAGAGTAGTGTCTCTTGCTATATAATTATAATCTCCTAGATTTGTGACCCTAAGTTTTACTTCCACTCTTGGTCATCACTGCGGTATTCAACTTCGTCCAGACCGCTGGTTTTCAGCCTTTTTTCTGATAATTATTGCGATCATTAAAATCGCTGGTGTTAGTTACAGCTAACCTTCATTTGTGCTGATCGCAATTTGCGAATCGGTAATTTACGATTATTTTTCAGAAGGCATGCCCAGCTCTTCGTCATCTCTGTCGGTGTTTTCAGCTACAACACTAACAGCTCGGAACAGTTCTAAGACACTCAAATGTCCAAAATGCAACTGGCATTACAAATATCAAGAAACATTAGAAATTCATATGAAGGAAAAACATGCGGGTCATGAGGTTTGATATACCTATCTAATTATAAGTTCCCCCATGCCATATCCTAAACTGGACCCCTATTCTTACGATATCTTGGTATAAATTTTAATCAGTAATTATTATTGTACTCATTAGGTAAGCAAAGTAATGCAGTAACACGTTATACCACGGTTGATTCATGTCAAAAACCTCCTAATTAAATTTCAAATAATTATCACGATCCTTAATAAACAGTCTCATAATATATTTTAAGGTAAAATGCATTTTCTGCTTGCATAATCGACCGCATCCTCGACTGGCCCGTGGTGAAAGCTATTCATGCGGCTACAAACCATATCGTTGCGAAATATGCAAATATAGTACTACAACGAAGGGTAATTTGAGCATACATATGCAAAGTGATAAGCACTTGCATGCAGTTCAAGAAATGCCACCTACAATTACAGGTCAGGTACTTATTTATCTTAATTACTGAGTTTGAGCTTATGTCCAATTCTTGTCTTTACAGTTCCAAAATTTCCATTATCCGTAACAAAATAGACATAATAGGTACTTGAAAATATTTCCAGGTATTAGTTAAAATTCAAATCTGATTTTCGATCCATATTTGCCCAGGAACAATGACATGAACTACGTGATGTTTTTTAACCATTACCACTCTTTACAAATTTCTATTATCTTCCAAATTGCTTGCCAAAAAAAAAGGAAAAAAACATAACTCATGCTTTAGGTAATACAATAGCAATTTCAAGTGGTGATTTGAATACCGAGAATTTACTCCAATGCATGATTTGCTCTACGTATTCGACTGATAATATTTCCAAAATGATCGAACATATCGGTAAGTAGCAGAATTGTCCCAACCTTGGTGTCGAAATTGTTCCCTGAAATTTTCATAAAACTACAAAAAAAAATCCAGAAATATGGGTTAAAGCATGTCTAGAACATCAATTTCCTCTGAGATATTAAGTGAATGGAAGCAGTAACCTAAATTTGTTTATAAATTTTATGAATAATGGGAAGTGTTTTATGAAATTCACCCAATTCCGACATCTGCGTCGTTTATATCAATATTCTTTGTATTAAGAACTGAAAACAAACAAATAATCCTTTTAAAAAAGTAAAAGAAACTATTTTTTTTTAAGAGAAAGACCGAAGTCATCCGGTGATTGGAGATATCTCTGTGATACATGGTGTTTATCATTGTAACCTATGTCCGTATAGTACTAGCCTGAAGGCAAATTTCCAGCTGCATACAAGGACTGATAAGCATGTGCAGCGAACACAGATGGTAAGTGAATTATAATTCGAAGTTAGTTCCATAAAGTAGTTAATATATAATCGGCAATCAGTAACCGGAAAGTGTACAAGTACAGAGCCATAAGTCAATAGTTGCTGCTTACAACAGCGTAGGTAAAATATTGCCTTTTCATTCATTGAATAAGTTGAGATATTACCAGAACTGGTAGCGCTCCCACATCTTGCTGATCTGCAGTTTGGTTCCCTATCGGGTAGACGCCAACCTAAAACAGATTCCATTTAATCATTTCGTTGACTAGGCTACCAATGGTTCTTACCTTTGTGGCCTTGATTGTATTTTGTTATCCAGTATATCTTGTCCTGTTCAACTTCTTACTACTGCTACTCCCAAAATTACAAGAATCAGGTAAGATTATATCGAAGATATTAATGGTGTAGAATAAATATACTTCCAAAGTAGGCTAATGCAAGAGATGAATTAAGAGTGATGGCACAAGTAAAAAGAAAAACGAATGAACGAGTTGAAAGCGAGTGTTAGAGTGGAGAAAAAAAAGAAAGAAGAGCCAAAACTTTTTTTAACTTCATATGGGAAATATATTTACAAAAAAGACAATTCAGTGGCCAATAACTGATGGGAAATTTATTTAGCGTTATATTCATGCTACAAAATTCCATCTTGTATAAGGAGAAAAGATGAAATAAATGGAATTAAACTGGGCGATAATTTTTGAACAACTATAGATGCTTAATTTATGCCAAAAATCGCGATTTCTTCTTTGATATATAGTACTTTCCTCTCGTATTCTCATATTTTCCAACCAAAAATTTCAGCATTTTAAAGAAGGTCATTTTATGAAACGGCTCCAAATTGTCAGAATTGCATTTAGATTTGCTATTTTTTTTTTGCTTTGGTTTGTTTTCCAAATCAGACGTATAGGCTATCATGTCTGTTAGAAGTTCATTTTGGTAAGGTCTAAGAAATTTCGAGGATTTTTTCAGATTATATTAGCAGTAATTGCCAAATGATTTTCTAGACTTTCAAATAGACACGGGATGTTTTCCGGCCACCCAGTGCCTGAACTTCCTGTGGTGTTAGACATACCGGCTTTAATTAAGTGCTTGATCCCCGAAAGAATTCTACAATGATAGTCGAAAAAGTCTTGCTGAATCTGGTTGGTTTTCTACAAAATAACAACATCAAATCGACTGCAGCGGAAAAGTTTGTTGAAATTGACTAGCTTTTATCCTTCGGGAATCACGGTTTCTTTTGAAAGAATGTATCAATACCCTCTCTTACAAACATTAGACTATGATCGGATCGACTTTGACATATCCAACATATCTTTGTCCGATGAGAGCTTCCAAGAACTCCCAAGATTTTACCCCCGGTGGGAAGGAAGAAATAGTAATGAATGAGGTAGCGCGTCTTGTGTGCACATTTCATTTAACATTAAAATATCGCTTTAAAATATTGACATAACAAATCGTCATTATTGTTGTTGTAATTGTCATTACCATTAACCATTGCCATTTTCATTGTTATTATTATTGTTATCATAACAATCACGGTTGTATTTCCTGGTACACACGGTCACAAGCACAAAATGTGTGTTTACCACACGTATTCAGGATTGAAATTAAAATTCGAGAAAAAAAAATTCCTTGACTCTATCAATTTCCATTTAAGTTATCTAATACCAAGCAGTTGTGAATTTGCGAAAGACACACACTAACAGGTGAACGAATATGAAAATACACAGAAATATACAAGCAAATTAACCTGTTTTAATTGAGGATTGTCAAATTTCATATTCTCCTCATCTTCGCTTATACTCTTTTCATATCATACCATTCATTCATTCGTTCCAATTAAGTGAGCTATCTACTTGACTTCTAAATACGTATCTCTTCTTGTTTCACTATACTTCACAAAGCTTGCTATTCAGTTACGAATATCCATTATTAGAGTTGCAAGAAGTTAACCTGTTAACCTTTCCTCTTCTCAACTCATTACATACCTGTCTTCACTCAGTCTTTTCATTTGGCATCTTTCTCTCATCATCACTCACCACAGCCTTCCTTCCACAATGCCAATCACCATTCTGTGCCATTGTTTTCTGCCGCAAACACCTTTCGAGAACCGAACACTGCAGGCAGTAAAATACGGCCAGATAGACATATAACACACACATACAATACATATACATATATACACACACATACATGCACATATACACACATACACACACATACATACACATAGATACACACACACATGTGTGTATATATATTCATATATTTACATATATACAAGCGGACGGGAAACGTACACAAATATTCATTCATTTTCACACCTTTTTCACAAAAGAAAGAGGGAGAGAGAGAAATGGACAGATGGAGAGATAGTATATACCTGTACACAATGTACCTCAAGTTCTACTTCAGTCGACAGGAGCATTTCTTAACATTTTGAAATGTACCAGCAAGCATTCTCACTCATCATCTGCCATCAACGTCTACCTATCATTACTTTTTAGGGGGTACTTATGGAATAGTTGATGAATAGCAAATATTTCCTAGATAGCGAGTTGAGAAATGACTGAATATGATTGTGATACCAAGATATGTCCTATTATTCTATTCAATAAACATACTGTGAGCAACAATTTGGACGGTTATTTCTCTTCATATATCCCATCCACTTTTCTATATTCGTATTAAGAAGTAATTACAAAAGAAAGCTGCAACTATTCCTCTCATTGCAATGAAATCATTTCTTATGTGATAAGAATACTTCCTTTTCCCATTATTCAATTTCGTTCTCTTGAAAATTATTACAGTTCCATAGATATTATCGAATTTTTAGCAGTTTTTTAAAATTATAATGTCCTTGGAAGTTCTGCATCCTTAGAAATTCCGTAATTTCTTTCTCGCAATTAAACAATGTCATTTCTTTCGGTACTGGTTATGTAATCTCACTTTTCTCGAGGTAAAATGATAGCGGCAATACCCATTACTATTGTTATCGATCTGGGATTTCCATGTCCCATGAATGAAATAACTATTTGTTTTTTTAACAATTCTCATTCAGGAACTTCTTGAAAGAAACAGAAGCCGTCTAAAATCTTGTATTAAAATTGTTCCTTTTTTCCCTGAAATATTAATTAAAAATAGTTGATATTATTACCAATTTTGCATGAGCGGCTATTGCGATGAATGAAATAGCCGAAAAGCTTATTGTCATCTGCATTTAAAATAAAATCTGAAGTCTTGAATCTGAAGTTTTAGCTGTGAACTCGAACCTCGCCCAACTTTATGCTCCAACCTCAAGTGTCTTTTTTGATGTATCAAGTATGACACAGACTATAATATCTTTATTTAGTGATTCAGGTTTTTCAGTACAGTTCATTTTGACAAATCCAATTTCCAGTTCATCTCTTCAGTTTAATTCAACAAGCGACCTCTTAATTTTTCAAGCGATCTGACTTTGTAGAGACTGAAAGTTTGAGGTAAGACTGAATATTTCTTTAAGTGTGAAATTATATAACACTAATACATGAAAATGAATCAAGAGTAAACACTAGATTGGCCTAAATCACTTAAGTAATATTTCCAAATACACAATTTCGAAATGCTGAGGGAAAGACAAATATTTCAACAAACAAGTTTAGGGAATTTTCGAATCAACTTAAAGTGTGCTGTCTTCTGAAGCAGTCTTCGAACTCTGTTTTTCTTGTTTTTTTTTTTTTTTTTTTTGAAATTCTGTCTCTGAATTCCTAAGTCTTGAATCTAAGCACATTCTCCGTATATCTTTTCTTTAAATGAATAGGAGAATGCCTAATATTTAAAATATTCTGTAACCTTTCTCACTCTTTCAGATATTCATGCTTTCAATCAGTATTCATATCCAAAGAAATTTAATGAACTTTTTTTGACCCGTGAAAATAGCTTTTTTAAATCTGTCAAATAAAAAAAATAAAAAAGTAGCTGATTCCGGAACTAGTCTGCTAACTCACTAATTTAGTGGAATGCACATTTTATGCAGTGTTCGTTTTTGTAACATTCACTTTTTTCCTAACGGATTAGTTTGGGTGCGCTGGGATACTTCCCTTTTCATGAAGACATATCTAATCTTCCAGTCACTTTAAATTTGTGTTATGAAGGCTACAAAAAGTTCCACATTTTCAGCGAAAATATATGCATTTTTCCAAACAATAATTATTATTAAAGTGAAAAATAAATCAAACAAGTGTTTAACTTCGGAATCTGAGTTTATAAAGAAAAAAGATTGGATAAATTCGTCCACTAAAGTTTCGCCGAAATTAGAACCAGGATCTATTTGAGGCCGGAAGTGGTCTAGGCTTTCGAATCGTTGTGAATCAGAAGTGCAGGACCGGATATTAGAAAGTCGGAGGCCGTAATCCTAATCTCCCCACAGAGTTTTTTATGCATTTAAAATTAAAATTGGTAGCAATTGCAATGGTAGCAAATGAATGACCTCGATAGGTTGCGTTCCTATAATTATGCCTGCATTGTGTTTGAGAATCATTTTCCCATCATTTCGTATCTCCCCAATTGTTACGCATTATCCGACCTTTTCTCCTCCTCCTCCTTCCCTCAGAATATCACAACTATAGGTGGAGGAAAGAAGTAAGGAAATGAGAAGAGGGTGGAGGAATAATTTAGAGGCAAACAGGTGTAGAAAGGATATGCTGCTTTACCATCGTTTCCTTCATGTGCAAAATTTTCACAGACCGCTTACGGCCGTGATGCGGTGATGGGTGATGGTAGGCAGCTCGTCAGGCCATTGACCTACTCGCCTCATCCCTAATTACAACTCTTTACAGGACACACGAGCAGTGACGGTTCAGAGATTGAACAATATACATCCCGAAGACCTTCAAATTATTCATCAACAAAATTCGTTCCCATCATTATTTGATGTTGAGACAAAAGTCTTCATAATTTAGAACTACTAACTGATCTATTCCGTAGTAAAGCAGACTAAGTAGTTGGTGACGGTTCCATTGGCGAAACTTGTAGATTTTAGTACGGTGAAATTTCAATGAATACATTGATGGAAGTTAAAGAGTGTGAAGTAAAGCTATAATTACTTCCAGAGAAAATTTTTACTTCCAAATATTAGGCAATCAGAGCACCACAGTCTTATCAGCTAATTGATGGAAGAAAATATGCTTATATTACTAGTTTAAATCTCCATTTGCAGATCTGTGTACGACGCACGATCCAGTTAAACGTGTATCTCCTCCCCCCCCCCCCTTCCTAACCCCCATTACAGAGAGATGTAATATGCTAAATGATAGAGTAATTACAGGATCTTATTAGGTACGTTGTCGTGCGGCCACATCCCGAAATTTTAGTATGGTGAAATTTTGATATGATCATCGTTTAATTTGAACTTGTACAACAATATACTTTTCTTCTATTGATTGGGCTATTGGCGATATCGGCTAATAAAAGGATGAAAAATACGTATTTTACTACCATCTGGGTGATTTTTTATATATCAAAAGATGCGAAATATGTGTAGTGTCAGTGAAAAGATTCATTAGAGGTATTGAAATGTACCTGTGATATTACTGTTGATAAATAGGCCTATTATTGAATCGAAAATTTTTTCCTCTCGATTGCTCATCACCAAACGCAGCGATATTGTAACATTCAATTTATGATAATCAAAGGGTGTTGAAAGAGAGAGAGAGAAGATGAAGGTGCTTTTCGTTGGTTAGCTAGCCCCATCGTTAGCATCCTGTCCGTTTATCACCATTTAGGCATATGTTAACGGAATGAACGTACCTTCAGAAATCCTACCCCGCCCGATCCCGCCCATCGCTCTCCTCCTTTTAACTTGACAATTGTAGGTTAACAGCGTAGAATTGTTGTACAAAAGCAATCGTAGTAAGTATTGGCAATGCAAAGTATTGGCAAAGTAAGCTAGTCGCTGTCCAGTAGTCATTCTCTTCATTGGCCCAGTAATCACGAGGAGAACTGGGGTATGCCTCAAGTAGTTTTTGAAATGTCGGAAGGCGAGAAAAGCTTAACTGCTTCGCTTCTTTTAAAGTTTCCTTCATTACTTAAATAAGTTCCTCTCAACAAAAATAATTCTCCATTGGTAATTACTAGTCCTGTGCTGCTCATCTCTCCATCCTTCCGCTAATGTTATAATTAATCTTTACAATACTATTTCATTGCTTTGTCTGTCTCCTCTCCTCTTCTCTCATCACTGTATCCTTAGTGTTGATGGGCGTAAATTATTTTTTTCATTCTCTGTCAGCTGAGAATTGTCTCCTTTTGTGATGAATGGTAAATGCTGGGACAGGTACTGTAACGATGAACTCTTGGTGAACTTTGCAGATGCAGTGTTGAAATGACGGATAAAGCAAGTTCAAGAGGAAGAGTTGGCTTATATGTTAAATTGCTACATTGGCACATTCGATTTGTTGACTTGAAATAATTTAGAAAGTATTTTAGAAGTAAAAATTCATTTTATTTTCATTTCGATCCTTGAATATCTTTATTTGGAGAAAAAAGGTAGGAGAAAAGGTGGAACTTAAAAGGAAGGGAACGAGTGATTGTGACATGAAAACACTGGTTGGCATTATCTTCAATTATACAATATCCTGCTGCTCCACCAACACAGGCCGATGAATGAATATTTCGCAACAACAATACCTACCGATTGGTCCTCGGCGAGTCGATGTTGGTACAACGATCCTTCACTTATTTTCACTTCCCTTCTCTCCTCATCTTGTTTATAGATTATAATATTGTCTAGAGATTTTATTTTAGCATAACTAATGTCATCATAACTGTTATCGTTGATACTGTTGGGATAATTTTTACGACTAGTTATAGTAGCATGCGTTTTTTCTAGGGGTGGACAGGCTATTTCTGGTAGAAATAGTAAGAGTGATCGTACAGCGCAAATCTTGGATTCTCTTTTCGTAGATCAGTAAATATCTCAGTGATAAAATCAATCTTGATTGTTTGCATTATCAACCAGATCTGATTTTATGAAAGATTATGACCGTTATTTAAATTGTTAGCTTGAAATCATCTCGATGTTTTTGCTCCATATCCCTTCACTGACCCTGAATGCTTCTTTGTCTTAATCATATACCATCTTCCTAGCTTTTTTAATTTCATTCATCTGCAATTCATACATACTTGACTGCATTACTTAATTACTTCTCAATCTTTGTGACTTGCATCAATTATGTTTACCTCCAAATATGATTCGAATGACTTTTGTCCTTAGGCCTTTTCAACAACTACTACCATCATCCTCACTTCTACTTCTCATCATCAAATTGCAATTAAGTGGTAGTAAAGTGGTTCACTTAAGCATATCTATAAATAATAGCTCGCTGCCACCAGCACATCGATAATGCAAAGAAGTGAAGGAGGAAAAAGTAGTTAGTAATTACCGAACAGAAAGGACCTACCAGCAAAGTACCTTAACTAGAAAATATTCCTATTGTCCTCCTATTGGGTTAATGCTTTCGCATTAATTGCAGCTCCCTATCTTCTCGATCCCATCTACGTTTTCTAATGAGCTTTTCGAAGTTTATTTCGAGAAGGTGAAGAGGATTATCCTGTTTCATACTTACCGTCCTCTTTCAGTTTAGTGTCCTCATATTTCTTCTGCTCTTTCTCTCAAGGGATGACCAAATAATGCTTCAAAAAGTGTATCGTCCGCGGGTTTTTCTTTTCATTGTTTTATCGAACGCCATGGTGTTTGCTATGTGAAGTGATATGAGTTACTATTAAATGCCATGAAATATGATGAACTTTACTTAAGACAAACGGCTCTTTTCTGCTTTCATTTATTTTGAAGTGTATTAGTATTCGACCAGCGAAGATTTCAAGATTATAGAGCAGAAAATGTAGTGTCGCAAGCATTAACCATTCCATCCTACAAGTATCACTCCATTCTTCAGTGACGTGGACAAGTTTTCCTTTGGATAGCTTTAGTGAATAAGTTAGATTGATATAAGATGTACAGCAGCACAGCAGCGAATTGTATCTCTGAAACCTGACAGTAAATCTCAAATTGAGCAGCGACACTGACCAGAATGCTTTAATTCTTTTAATGCAGATTTTAATGATTAAATAACATTTGTTATATCTTATTGAATTTCATGTGATTAGTTTTTTTGTTGTTTCAAGTTAGTCTTAGGCGTTATAAATGTTATTGAAGAGAGACAGATCACAAAAAGGAAGGAAAAAGGAGTGACTCTAATATCATACTTGGGAAAATGTTGTAGAAAACTTGGATTTTAAGATTTCTCTGTGCACATTGATAAGAAAACTCTATTATTTGATATCTTCCTGATCAATTTTTAGCAATTTTGTAATTTTAATTCGAAAACGGTATTGTTGCGATCGGCTCTGTTTGCAGTGTTGCAGTGTCCCGGTCTAATGCCTTTTTGGCTAGCCTCATATACGGATTTCTCATTTCGTTTATATAGATTACTCGCTATTTATCGATTGCTATTTGGATGTTTAAAAAAGAGAGGGGAGTAGTTAATGTTGATATAAAATGTCGCGATGGACTTTCACGGTGTGCCATGAAATTGAGTATTTAAGAATATAATACTGATTAATGGGACTATCAGTAAGTTGTACAGAGTGCAGTTTTGTACAGTACCACTTCATGCCAACAACACTGTTTTGTTTCATGCCAATGCATGTATCACACGCCAATGCATGCTATTAGTAAAGCATAGCATTATTAATTGGTGTGTAAAGTCGTAGTAATTACTGTGGCAAGTATGGGCGGTGCTAATATCATCATCGGCTAATTCATTTGCCATTGGAAAGGCGTGGCTCTTCGCTAACGCTGATTGGCCACTTGTGGTTTCAAATGAGCGAATTGTCTTCAAACTTTCATTACCATCACCCGGACCCTAACACCAGGAGCCTTTACAGATAGGCATGCATGTACACACGTACCAGCCTGTCATCATTGCTTACCTTTTTGATCTTCGGTACTTTTCATTTCATGATATGGCATACATGGCTCATAGGACGTTCTTCCCAACATTTCCTTTTTCGACTGAAAAAGGAAAAGTACTTCTAAAGTTGTTATATTTTGATTGCCCTAAAAAAGGAGCATTAAATAGATGCTGTATGTAATTGTTAATATTGTGATTGATTAGTGGGAGAGAGGCTTGTGATGGAGGAGCAAGAGGGCTGAACAGTGGCTCCCTTCTCAGTATCGCTCTTTCAACAATTTATTAATTTATAAAATTCTTAGTTCAGAAGTTGTAATGTTACGCGTATCGTTACATCCTCAGAAGTACTATGAGATGTGCTAATTTTTATGAAGTACAATTGATCCTGTATAAAGCACGTATCTCTTCCATTCATTACCGATAGCAACTTTTGATTGGTCTTAGTAACTTGTTATCGTTTGAAATAATATTAACTTCTATCATATCCGTTTTCATAATCAGGAGATCTCATTCCCCAGAGAGTGATACGGTTTCGACACATTGTCTAGTTACTTCTCATTCTTGGAAAAGGAGTTGAAGTATGGGAAATCAATCCATTATTTTTATTTATTCCAGATGAATCATATACGTGAGGGTGGTACCGCTGGAATATCATTATCAGCGTCGTCAGCACTGTGTCGGATTAGTTCTGCCAAAAGTGCTGTACAGGTTCGTTGTCGCGCATGTCAGGAAATTTTATCATGGTAAATTTTTGCTCAGTTTTTTTTTACTTTATGATTTGCTTTATTTTTGGAATCCCTTCGTCTTTCTATTGTTTGTTATATCCTGCAGAAAAGTCTATTATCGGATGTTGCGAATCAAAAATTTAGTCACTGTTCTTCTTCATGGTACTTTATCATGTTGAGGCAGTATTCTGCATTCTTAGAAAACTGCCCTAGCATGATAAGAGACCACGTGGTTTCCCGGAATTTCGTATAACAGCGGGACCTCCCTCATTGTCAGAGTGAACAGTCTTATTCGCATTTTTTAGGATTTTATGGTATTTCCATAAAATTCTGATTTTTCTCCATTTTTTACTTTCCACACATGATGTTGCATAAATTATTTTCCTAATAATAAAAACGAAAAATGATCTGAGATCCATTTTCATGTTTTGATAATGAATCATTCTATGGAAAAGCTGATAAAAAGCGCAAAGACAGGAGGAAACGAAGACCTAAAAAATGTAATAATAGAAGGATTCTTTTTTGAATGTGCAGCAGGAAAAGCAAGTGTCTTATGTCGATCCGCTCATATTCTGTTTTTCTATCGCGCATCTTTATATTCGTTTAAATATCGACAACTTGGACTTTATGGTAGTTTCAGAATGGTGAGAAGACCCAAAAGGAGGATGTGATAAATTAGAAGAAGCTTGTGTCGATATTTACCGCCATCCTTTTCGGGGATAGAATAATACAGCTTGAATTGCTGAGCCCTGTTTCCTGTTTCAAGGATTTAAGAAACTTTTCTTGCTATACAGTGACAATTAACCAAAAAGGTTGATCGCAGAGGACAAATCATATTGATATATATATATTTGATTGCCCTCAATATGAATTCCTGAGCCACTGATAAACAGTTAGGAGATCACCTTAGATTTTATTGGAAACCAATCAAATTAAGATCTTTGTGATATTCGCTTCGATTGCTCAAAACGGCTTCATTTTTAATCTTAAAAAAACGGTTTTATGGAAATCACTGCAGCACAACAGTGCTTTACTTCAAGGTAGTTTTTTGCTGGACGATTCAGTGTATGCCTAATTCGACAACTCGAAAATATTTTTTCAGTCCGTTTGCACTACGTGAACATTGTGAGAGTCGTGCACATTCTCTCCGAATAACGCAACTTGCATCAATGTCCAGTAAGGCTGGAAGCGCTCCGGCCGGTAGTTCTGCACCAACGTCAACGATGTCGATGTCACCGAGTCCTGAAACTGTTCTCGAATGTCGACACTGTTCTTTTGAGACAAGCGATACTTCCGGTGCTATCAGTAAGCTTTGAATTTAAAATATAAATTGATCGATTTAAACTAAACCACTTGATTCTCCTCAATACCCTCTTTTCTACACATGGCCTTTGCTAATTGAAAAGGCTTCATTTCGTCCATTAAATAATGGGAATTCTTGTAGCCAGATTCCGAAACAGTTTTATACTTGGTGTAAGTTGCAGAACATATGCAGGAACATCCACCAAATGTGGAAAGTACTGGAACAGAACAGGAAACTTTGAATCTCGAAGCTAGTTGCGGTAAATGTTTTCTACATTAGAGCAATATTAGAAGTAGAAGAGGAGAATTACTGGTATTTATTCTGCTACGTATAACTTTTTCTAAAAATTCCACAGCACAGGAAAATTTTGCTGCTCATGAACTAACCTTTATTTCAATGTTGTCATTGTGCTATTCCACTTCGGATCTTTGTACTTAATGTTTTACATAGATTTATTATATTTAATATTCTGCAGTTCGAAGAAATTTTATGATAAACTAGAACTGGTAGTTCTGGAACTTCATTGACTGCGGGGAATATTTTCAAATGGACTTGGGCAGGATTTGTTCCGGATAATTTTTGAACCACAAATTACTTAGGCACTTCAGATAGTTCCAGAAATTGTTTTCCAAATTTACTTTTCTAAGAATTTATTCTGAAAAAATATATCGCTTTATGATCGTTATGGAAAAGAAATAATATGAAGGGTGCCCCAAAACCAAGTGTAATTTGCAATCACGTGCGGTTAATAGGCAGTGGGATTGTAATTGATGCTTTGAAATTTTTAAAAACTAGTTTTCAGTTTGCTTCTACGATTAGTTAGTAGTTAATTGTGGATTGAGGTTTGAGAGATAGTGAAACTTGTGAAATCAAAGAGGTGATTGGAAATGGAGAAGAGAGGAAAACGAATAATCCTTAATCTTTAAATTTTAAAATGGTCTTGATTGAAAATGGCCATCTATCTTTCATTTCTGACTGTCCCCTATCATTCCACAAAATCGCTTGTTGAAAATTTATGTAAATGATAATTGGTTTGGTGGACAGCAAAGAGAGAGATGGGCCGAATTGAGAGGAAGACTAAATAAAATAGCAATTACGTACCTCCTACCGAGATTAAATTAATATAGCTATTAGCGAGCCGAAACTAATGCCGGCTGTGACGACAAATCCTCAAAACCTAACCAAATAATAGATGATGTACTGCGTCAATCTTATTTCATCATTCTATATCATCAAGTTTACCAAAATCCGAAAATTTAATTTTATAGTCATGATGCTTGTAATCTGCGAAAGAAACACTATCTAAATGTATAAATTAGTGATGACTGGTAACAGGTAAGCCAGTTTCGAACGAATGACAAGTCAGTATTTTATTATCACTACTTCATTGTCATTGTCATTATTGGTCATCTTCACTGCTAACAGTACAAGTTGTAATAAGTGATTGGTAATGGATGCTAAAAGAGGACAAATGTTATCATCTTTTAATATTCCTATTGATTTTGATAATCAAGAAATCATGCTATTACATATAACAATTAAATGTCGTCGTCATAGCGCTGCTATTGTCTGCAGTTTTCAGTTTCATAGGCCATGAATCAGAAATCGTTAAATTGGTATTTGACAAAAATTAGCACTGTATGTATTTACATTTCGTGAAGGACTTCCCCTCTAAGATGAGTCAAAATTTCTTGCTTTTGCTTCACAAATACTTGGAATTTTTGTTTGCCAAACATTATTGTGTTTTAAGTTTTCATTCTAACTGTGTCACAATTCTGCAATGAGTAGTAATTGTGTAGTTTGTAGTGTCTGCAAAACAACACATGCATCGTGCTAATGCAGAAAGCGGCAAAATGATGAGCAGTCTATATGAATTGAAGATATTCTACTTTAATCTGTGAAGAGAATTAGATTCATTTTAATACTTTCAGTGAGACACGCCAACCAGTTATAGACTATCATAGCACCAATATTTGTAATTAAAACTGACCTCTTTAAAGGGACAGGAATACATAAATGGATTTGCAGTCGCGATGGGAAGTTTTTGCTATGAATTGTAAGCGTTAGTGAATAATGATTTTAGATAGATTGATTCTTATGATGTATGAATTGTTGGGATGGATGCAGGATGGGAAGGGAAATGGTATAAGTGCTATTGTCTAGGTTCATCACCACCTAAGCATATCGCTGCCTAAGGCGTATCCGAATTAAAATTTAATTCTGTCCCAGACTACTTTTCCTCTTTTTCCCAAAGTTCCTCCTGAAAACTTAACTTTCCCAGTATTTTTTACCACCTACAGTCATCAGAAATTTAAATATGACTACTAATTAACTTTTAAAATATGACTACTGATTGGTTTTTAGATTGCCAATCATTTTCATTGCTGATATGTAGTAGGATTCATTTTCCGGATGTGTGATTCATCTTCCAGATTTTTTTCGATGCTGTTACACTTTCTAAAATTAAAGCTTATGTAGTGTTCTAAAGACTGGCCTGGTGATATTATGTGATAACATTTACTGCGAATTAGCAGGAATGTTCACTAAAAAGGAATGTTCACTTGTTCACTAAATCTGGAAGATCCATTATCTTTAATACCTTCTTTTCTGAGGTATGTTTGTTCCAAGAACAAACATAACTTTTGCAGTCGTGCTTTTTAAATTCCACCATTGTATGAGGAATTCACCCAGAACTGTTTGAGCTATCATAGTCGGTCGTAAGGCGGTACGAACCAGCCATGCTATGATCGTATCTCAATTTTTTGAAACACCCACAGTGATCGCCAAATCATTTTATTTAATCTATCCATTGAAGAAGTCACAGTGGTTCATTCTTTGTCGTCTCGTCATTGCTTGTTATGTCAATTTGAGTTTAATAATCTCCAAAGGAGTACTTTGTATACCTTTTTATTTCCTTGTTAAATGTTACAAATATTGTGATTGCTTCGAACCAAGGTGTGAGAAAAGTATAGGTACTAACATAGAGAAACAGAATAGGAAGCGATAGCCTTTGTAACATTCAAACTGCTTTGGCATTAACGCCCATTGCATTTACTGTATTTTCTCATTTGCGCTTCTCTTCAAATTGCCACACTTCTTACCTCTCTACTAGACTTCTTAATGTATAATTAGAGGTTTGGTGAGACAGGACAGGTAACTAAGGTGATGAACGAGGACAAGAACCAAAACGACAATTGTCGGCGACATCAAGAAGGGCCTGTGAACCTCACATGCAAACAAAGGTGGAAAGAAAAACAAGAAGTGAAAGAAGAAAAGACTAAAATAAGATAAATGAGGGGAAAATGAGATGATTAACGAAGGTCATATTCAGTTGATGTTATGGTGCACTGTATATATGTATCCATATATATATATATACATATATATATATATATATATACATGTGGGAATCGAATATCCAAATTGCGAGGAACATGGTCTGCTGCTTGATTGAGAGACACTAAAGGATGCATGAGGCAAAAGCGGGAAGTAGGAAATGCTAATGGAAATGATGAGCGACACCGATGATGTTGTTAATGATATTGGTAAAATCACAATAGCAATTACAATTAAACGAGCAGATTTACATGGGCATTACCAAATCAGGAAGAGGAAGGCATTGTTATAAATTTGCTGAAGCTAAAATAGAAAACGATTCACTTGTGGTTTAATTTTTTTTTTTTCATTAACTGTGTTGGAATAAGGATATCAAGTTGATATTTCTGTGAGCTTGCAGTAATCATCCTTAAGCGTGAATCCATCAGTGTTGAACTTAAAATTGATGTGCAAACAAAAATGTGCCTGTGAATTATTACAGTCTGTTCTGTTGTATAAGCATGAAGAGATTTCTGTCATGACAAAATGACACATCCATAGTATCATAGTCAATTAGAAATACTGACCTGACAGCAACGCAGAACAATTAGAATCGTGATCCTTTTTTTAGGATGTCGTGATATGGACAGTGAGTTATTCGATCCGGAGGCGATACTGCATTTAATTCAATATCAGCGTTATTTTTCATGGTAGTCAGCTTAGCTTGTCTATAAATAAGAATTTTCCTTTTTGCCAATTCCGAATTTTAAAGTGACAAAGCAATTTATTGAGAATTGTTATTTCATTTCAGATCAACTTGATAATGCTAATATCTGCAAAGGACATTTGCTTATGACAAATAGTGCCTGTTTATTTCTTTCTGATCATTTGCAGTAATACTTAGATGGCTTATCTCTCATTATTCTTGCTCGTAACCAAAATATGTCCTTGGCTTAATTTTATAGGTAACTATCGAATGAAACATGTTCTCATTATGAAGCCGAGGTAAATTAATAGCTGACTGCAAAATGCATGAGTACTTTTCTTATGCAGCCCTTCACACCCTTCAATGCATATCCATAGTCTTTTCAAACGGAGTAGATGAAAGTGAAATTTTCTTATCTGGCCGATGATATTTCCATCTTCAAAATACTTAACTTGGCTGTTTTCTAGGTGTATTTGTTTCAAAATTAATTCATCAAGCGAATCGAGAGAAACCATTTGACACTGTTGAATTTTGTATTTGATGCAAATTCTAGAGTTTGTCGAATTTTGTTTAAAAGATTTCCTCACTCGTGATAGGTATAGTATGCCTTGATTTGTTGCATGTTATGAAAAGCCTAGATAAACAAATTGCAGAAATCGGTGATTTCGAAATCAGTGTTTTTCGACAGACAGAGAAGTAAAGTGGAATTATAGTGTTTTCCTTCATTTATGAGTATGTTTTAATGAGAGGATTAAACAGTTTAGTAGTATCTTACTCTTCTCCTTCAATAAAAGGTCAAATCTAGGCTGTAAATATATCAATGAATCTACGTGATATCATTATTTTTGTACTTAGCAAGTTTGTAATTATTGTATGCACTGCCGGATTTCTGTCTAATTGTCTAAGCTTTCCATTTTTTTTTCACCATATGTGTATTAACTAATTAAACAAATACTGGTCACACTAGATAATACATGCGAAGAAGGACTCAGTAATTGAGTAACAATAATAGTTTTACTATTTAAATTTTGATATGGCTAGTCTCCTCGACCACCCCGTACTACTCGTTCCACACTCGTCCATCTCTCTCAGCGAGTGATGATTTTAATTTGTTATACAACGACATTCGTAGACAAAGGGACAAAGAAGAGGAGAGGCGAGATTTAAATGGAAAGTAAGGTATCCTTTTTAATTATACAATCACACTGAGTTCTACAAAAATACTTCAGTCAAAATCAACTGTAAGGTGATACTTTAAGATTTCAATTTTTCATTAATAACTGATACTTCTATTATCTTGGCTGCTGATATCTCAATTTCATGCACTTTCTCCACTTTTATTAATGTTACTAAGCTTTGCCGTCTAAGATATGTTTTGTGGACTTTCACCTTGAACTCTTTTTTCTTTTCGTGCCGTTTAACGTGGTTGCTATATGAATACCTAGATCTCTATTTTGAGACTTTGAATAACCTATCAGTTTGATCGCTCTTTGATGTATCAACGAAAATTCAGATGGTAATTTCCCGATAGCTAGAGGCTGATTTCAAAAAATTTCTCGTTGTTATCAACAAAATTACTGTTATCATTCATTTGATTTACGATTTAAAACTGTTTTTACCGTTGTCACCACAGTCATTACTAAATTATATGGAATTTAACATGAATTTTGCTGTGAATTTGTGAAATTACTATTACTGGTGCTGCAGAAGAGTCTAGAAGATATTAGCTGCAGTTTATTGAGGAACTGATAACTGCTCATCATTATCACCAAAATTACCATTATTAGCATTCATTTGATGCCATTTTCGTGGGAATTTTTGTAGTTTCCAGTTCGTTGCATTTCATTTGGCCATATTCGGAGAGCGACGGACAGTTTTCAAATTATTTCAGCATTGAAATAATTATGATTGAAAAAGGTTTTTAAATGCGTATTCGGCATAATATTGTCGCTATTGTCACTGTGAAACCCCCACTCAAAATTCCTCTTTTTTTTAATCAAATTTTAGTCAGAATTAAATTTCTGGTTGATGCATTCAAAACCCGTGATTTATTCTAAACCAGTATGCATTTTGTTTGTTCCCTTTTCCTTTGCTCGCTTCCTCTGTCATCTTTTAATTGATGTATTAAGTTGAGACAAGTAGAAAGGCATGAGTGTCATTTGACACTTCATATTGAGATATGAAAGATATTCTTCTGTGCTGCTGCATTGGTGGTTCTAATTTGCTAATGCTGCTCACAAGCTCTTGTTCTGGCATTTCTTGATACTGTTACCGAATCAATGGTTACTCTTGTCAGTGATCTGCCCACTGACACTGACAGTTGAAAAGTGCGGGAAAATTTGGGATAATGGAACATTATGCTTGGCAGTTTGAAGAACTAAAATGAGAAAAACTGTATCTAATCACATGGTTATGGAGTTAAGGAAGAACGAGGTCGAAATTGAGATTTTTATGCTTCTCCACTTGCTAAATTTAAAGGAGAAGAAGCTTGATTTGCTTGTTTAGTAACAATTCTAACTTCAAATAGACACTGTTGGGTGCGTAAATTCAACAGTTGCGAGGAGAGTACTGGTACTGATGCGCTCATCATGACATACTAATAATGGACTCGCGCATGTGTCTCTATGTCTGTTTGTCAGTTTATTATTATCTTCGTATGCCTGTTTGGATCAGAGCATTAGGGGACGTGGGATGGGGTATGTAATTAAGTTTTAGTGAATGAAATTCTATAATGGAGGTTTCTAGTAAATCAATCAGTCGATACTTTAAAAATCATTATGAATAACTTTTATCTAGAAGAGGAAAGGAAAGTCTAAAATGATTTTATTAATTTCACCCAAACGAATGTTAGTGTGATTTCCGCTCACTATAATTTTTTTCCCCTTTTTCCTCCACTTTTTTCTACTACCTCCATCCGCACCCATTACCGCTAAAGCTCCTTTAATCTTATCGAGTCATTTCTTCTAAAATGATTTCACTTTCACCTGCTTGTCGGATTGAAACGTCTTTGCTCATTGATCATTACGACTGATTTCTGGCACGAATTAATGCAAGAATTTAATGAACAAAAATGTCTCCTGATTGATAGAAGTAAATGTATGTGGTGATGGAAACACCTTCTCTCTAATTGTTTCTAGTGTCTCAACTATAGTATTCATGCTCTACGCTTGTCCAGCCACTCAGTCCTTTTTTAAACTTGATTCCTTTGATTAGCTGTGTGGTGGGCAACAAGTGCCTAAAGCTTACAAACTTAATGATAGCAATAGCAGTAAGCACTCTTATGATAGCAGTTGTGCTGGAGAATATCGATGTGCTTGTCGTCTCTTTCTTTTTTTCTCGTAAGCTGTTCGATCGCGTTTGGTTGGGATGAAATGTAGACCTCACGCCCAAAAGTCACACCAAAGTTATCAGGTCTAAGGAATCGATGGCACTGCGTGCATAGCAACAAAATTTCATGTATGGTGACAAAAGGTCATTTAGACTTGTTGACAAATGAATCTAGCCTTCTTTTTAGAATGTTTCACTTCTTCATTAGCATTAGCCTGAAAATGGGTTACTGATCGCTTGCCCGAAATCTTCAGTCCTCTTCCTGGTGTTAGCTTAGCTTTACTGTGTTCGACTGTTGGGCTTCTTACTTGAGGCTCATTTTTGAAGTGCGGTTATTTCTGTCTGTCGGAGCCGTCATCCTGAAGGCTATAATGCTTCTTGTTCTTTCTAGCACCACCAATATAACTCTCTCCATTTAACTGAACTCATCAGTCTTGCGTCTTTTTTCTAAATTTTCTCAAGGACGACTTTTATCTCCTCCAGCATTGCCGTTCAATCCTTCTCCTTCCATTGCCCTCTCATCCTTCCCATCTTCTGTTCTCTTCCTCCTTTTCCTTTTTTTTCGGCGTATTGGGTAACGGATGTGCGCACAAAATTAACATTTCCCAATTAGTTGAGAGACATGAAGCTGCCAGAAATCTTCCCTTTGACTTTTCCCAAATGACATGAAATGCAAGGAAGGAATTTCCCCTGAAAGCAAAGCACTTGCCCATCCCTCCTTGTTCATTGTAGCACTTCAGTTGATGAGAACGACCCTCCATGCATATACTCATACTCATTCCATTCCATTCCATTCCATCCACATTCACACACATACATAAACGTTTGAAAATTGCCGTTTGCAGTGCCTTTTGTTTTTTTTTCTGGAATTTCCTTTCATTTCAAGAAACCAGCTAACGATAGTCTGCCCTATCACTTTGCCACCCTCCATATTTACTCAAAAAAGTTGCTTAAATTGAGCACGATATTATTTTGTTAATCTTACTCTATTCTTGAATCAGTCTTTCTCCCACTCATCCTACAGATATTTCACTTCTACTTCTACCTTTGTCATGTTTCCTTTTGAATACTTATGAAACATTTGACAGACGTAAACATAGTGGACATACGAAGTGCTAAAGGAAAATGACAATTTTATAAAGGGAATAGTCATCTTTCCTGCATAATGTACCGAACGGTTTTACATCCAGCTAAGAGCCAATCTTTCACCTAAGACGTCATGTGTAACCTTATACGCCACATGAGGTCAACAGCATTGTGTTCATGCATTCCAGATGTTATATGATAATTAAATATACTGATAATTAATGGAAAATGCAGCAAGCAATTATGCTTCTGATGCAGTGCGGTAATCATTATGCGAATTACTATAACTGTCGGAACTTTATAATCAGTTCTTTGACCATGTGCAAATTTGATTACAAACACTTGCAAGGTTTACATGCAGTGTAATCGATCTTTTGAAATTCTTGTTTCTGTTAGCTTAGGACATGTGCAATCATGTGAAGCAAGATAACTAGGATTGAGACAATGAACGATGTTGGTGAATCTGCGACTGTACACAAGTATCTGAAAATTCAAACGACCTAGTTCCTTTTTGCTGAAAATTAGCTTTGTAAAATAATTAACGTTGTCAAGAAATACTAAAAGTGCTTTTCTCCTTTCTGACGTGTACAAAATTGTATGTCGTTATTTCCCACGAACTGATGTGTCGAACTGAGATGGTAAAAGGATAGCAGTATTCAACTGCAAATATCTGCACATACAGTTTATCGTTCAGAATATTGCTGCGCAAGAATGTTTCTTGTTTGTTGGTCATGAAAGCGTAAATTATTCGACAACAAACGGCATTAGCTGCGTGCTTAATCGTATCATGAAGCCATCTCACTTTTAGCTTACTACTTGTTCTTCACTATTTTTTTTTTGATTTTCCCTAATTGTCATCAGTACTATTATCATGGAACTGGAGAATCTTTCTCGTCAAACGAAATATTTAGGTTCGAAAGTATTGATATCATTTGCTTGGATTCAGTAACAAAGAGTCGGTATCACTGAACTGGGACGAAGCAAACCCAAAGAGGTCGAAATGAGATCAAAATATAAATATGAATTAGAGGAAAAGAGAACAATAGGACAGGAAGTTATCAATGTCATAGGTATCGCCTATACCGTACTGCTTCCAACTTTAATGCCTTCATTTCTGAATCTAAATCTTCACTGAGTCTTAAGAACCAATGAGTTGATTTTCTCCATCGCTTCTTGATTGTCGTCGACACTGTTCACTGTAATTGTCTTTATCACCAATATGATCGCTACTCTGTAGTAATATTAATCATAATTGATTATCGTCATTGTTGTTATGATCCCTTCGAAAGTGATCCCATCCATTCCCACTGTCATCTTACAAAAACAGTTATCCTTTTGAGCATCATCGGAGCATATCAACAAAAGTTTTTCATTGTCATTCTTTAGCTTTTCCCAGAACTATTCATTTCACCAGCAGCCCTGCTCTCTCACCATTCGTTATCACGAAGCTTCCCTTTCGAACTTTCTTTTTTTTTCCACTTTTTTCCAGTTCCTTTTTTTGAGTTCTCTTGGACTGACGTGATCGTCTCAACAGATGCTTCTCCTATAAACTTATTTTATTAGTCAAAATACAATTTTTTCATCTAATACTCCAGACGAATTTTCGAGAAACTGTTTAAGAGGAAGGGTGCTCTGACAATTGATATCTAGAACTCGAAGCAAAAGCATAGTCTGGTGTGTTAAACTAACATTGAACCTAGGTGACATTTTCCTAAAAGAAAATATATAGCTCGTTAAGCTGATATGTCACTGATAATTTGAAACAACACTAATACTAAAGAAATTTTTTTTAGGAGCAGTTGACGAGGATGAAGTTAATGACTGCGCGGCGAAAAATTTTAATATGAATGAAGCCGCTTATTGCTGCCCGCATTGCAACTTCATTACTGGTAAGCCTTTTCTTCCATTTGAGGTGCAATTTTCCTTGCTTGATTAGAAATATTTTCTGTAGGAAATCCAGAAACTTTGCTAGCCCCCTGATTATCTCTTTTTCATCTGTTTAGTGGACGTGTATATCGAGGACAGCTGCAGTTTTTATTGGAATTTTTGATTTCCTTACTAATTATTAAAACACATCTTGAATATGGTTCAGAATTTGAAAATACTTTACAGATATTGTCCAGCTTTCTTATTTGCTTCATGATTTTCTCTGATAAATTTTCTTTCAGCCAAAAGGAATAAATCTGTTGTGGAGAGCAAAATCTTGAATTCTATTAAGTGCGCCAATATGTAAATTTACTTCCTTTATTCTAGTTCTTTTATCAAATATCTTGCCGAAATATTCGAGTTTTTTAAATCGTTCAGGGAATATTGCAGGTACAGAAGTGGAAAAGTCAACAAATAACGATTAAGCTTTCTTTTTTTTTTTTCCATAATGAGTTATTGAAGGCACGAAGTACAGCTGATAAGAAAATGACTAATCACTCGTATTGTATAATTGAAGTGTTCTTAGTTTCCTGTTTACTCATTTCCTATTTAGTAGGAGAAATATTCCATATTTTCATATCTTTTGCTATTTCCTATTGTAACCGTCATTTTTCCCCATTTCCATTTCCAGTTGTGATCCTTATTTTTATAAGGTTTATGGAGAGGAAAGGTTTAGCTGATCTGCAAGTATGCAAACCATTAGAATCAATCAGATTAGATTACTGTAATGTGGAGCCATTATAATACGCTCTTATGCTTTCTCAATTGCAGTAGTCTGACTTTCCAAGATTTATCCAAAGTATTTAAGACAATTTTGCTCCAAATATGTTAAATTATAATGCGTTAAGATTTATTTGCAATTTTATTTCTAATAAATTAGATGTAGCTTAATCGCAGTCGCAAATTTAAATTCATTTTGGAATGCATAATTTAATAAAAATAATATTTTAATATATGAATGAACAAATACGCTTTAAATTACATAAGAATTAAGTCAGTTTATAGTATGTCATATTTTATACAGACGGATATAGAGATGCATAATTTCAGATAATGATATTGTGTGAAGCGTGTTCTAGAAGGCGTATTTGTTACATTACATTGAACGAGTCAAAAGAATACTTCCCTTAAGTACCTTTTCTATTTGTGGTCTTCAACGTTATTTCATTGAACTTTTGAGAAATATAACTCAGGCATTTCAAAAATGTTGAAATAATTTGATTCATTATCTTATTTCTTCGCACTGACAAAAGTATTTTAGACGAGCTTGTTATGACCTCACGGGATGATCCTGAAGAAAATTGTTCCCCATTATTTTTGCTTTTAACAAAAGTTAAGAACGGAGCAAAATATGAATCATTACTCCATCTTTTGCAATAACTGGATAGATGTATTCTGAATAAATTTAAACTATGCGCTAAATACGCTTTAGTTATTTAAAGTCTTGAAAAAAAAAATCACTTTAAATCACTTTCACATTTCATCTTTTCGATTGTCACTTCCAGTGCTGTCAAGAGATAAGGAATTTCTGAGATTGTGCTAAGGCTTTGCTGCATGATGTTTTCAGCAGATGCTTACTAGCTACAATTTAAAAAACTAGTGAGGGCCTTTGATTTACATGTACTTCTTCTGTAATATTTTCTTTCATGTGGTAAGGAAACAAGACATTAATTTCACTAAACTTATTGGTAAAACGGAAAGCACTGATAATTCTCTTAAATATAATGTTTAGTAAGTAGCATTACAGATGTCTCAATCATTGTCACTATTATGGTAGTTATAAGATACCGACAGTAAGTGTTGGTATCTTATAACTAACCATAATAGGGACAGTATTGTGAAAATACTGTAAGTTGCTCCTTGTGTTTCATTATTGTCATAACAATAGAATTTTGCCATTTCTGTGTTGTATATAAACTTTAATGAGAAGGAATATTCCCTTATCGGTGACTTAAGCTATTTTTCTGTTAAGTGGTTTGTGAAACCTTCTTGCAGTAAGGCAGTAAAGCATTTAACTACATGACTTATTGAGAGGTGTAGTGTATGCAGTTGTGTCGATACTCTGATGATAATGGTTGGTAATGGTAGCAGTGTATTACAGAAAGAGGCAAGAGTCAAATAGAAAATTCATAATTCTGCTCGTACAAAAAATTTTTGATTTTATCGAAGAATGAGTTTAATTTTCATTGCTTATTCTCTCGCTTTACTAAATTTTTATTAACACTCGCATTCTCATCATCATCTGGCTGTTTTCTTTTTTTCAGAAACAGATTTTCTCAACTAAGTTTTTTTTTTTTGTCTTCACATTGCACAGTATAAGTGAAGAAGAATTATGGAACAGTTGTTGCTTAGATTAAAATAAGACTACGGTAGTATCATGGATTTAGAGAAGAATTAGTTGGTCAGTATTTACTATTCCAGAAAAATGTCTGCTTTGAAGAAATTCTTCTGATTCTTCCAAATGAATGGTAAAACAATGTTAAGTTGTTTTGTCTAACAGAAGAAGTCTGATTTCGTTTTTTTTTCGTTAGATTACAGAACGAATCCCTTCATCAGCATTTAATGCTGCAGTATAATGTGAGAAAAGAATGTCTTCCAGGGCTTCATCATCTTTCCTCCATGGAATGTCAATGAAGAGAAGCATCTTTTCTCTTTTTTAAAAAAAGCATGAGAACTGTATCTATTATTGTACCTGCAATTATCCCTTTCCCGTCTTCTTCCCATCCGTTCCCGTCCCGCCATATTATGTTAATAGTTGAAAATAATAGATTACATACGGCGATTAACTGTTTGGCTGTGAAGTAGCGCTCATACTCTCTCTCCGACTGCATAATATTAATCTTTTTGTTGTGGTTCAAATATCAAATTTAACAGGAAATAACATTAATTGAGCATTTGGATAAAAAAACATCTTTTCATTTACAAGTGAAAGTAAAATTATCTGAAGAAGAGAAGTAAAAGTTACAAAAAATTGACCTGTAATTTCAAGGAAGCTTACTGGAAGACCACGGATCTGTTCGGTGATGATCATTTCAAATATTATACATGGAACAATTGCGGGTGAAGTCGATTTGCTCATTGTGATTTCACGAATAACAGTTTATTGTTGAGCTATTCTGTCATGTATATTTACTTAAAAAACCCGACTAACATCTTCGAGATCAACAAGATTCTACAGTCATTTATTGCATCATGTTCTATTCCTTCAGTTCATTCACTGACTGAGCCAGTGCCACTTTGAAAAAGCTAGTCTTTACTCACTATTTTTTTCTTAACTTGCTTGAAGCTTTCCGAAAAGTGTACTGATGTATCCTGACTTGGCTCTTCGCTGTCACAACTATTCAGGTCACTGTGAAAGCTTGATCGTTTAATCATGAAAAGCTCTGTTGCAATGTTTTACAAGGCCGTATTAATGAAACGTCAATTAGAAAATACATGAACCAGTGACGTGAAATCTACTGGTAGAAATCAGATTCCTCTAATTGCAGCCTTTTAAACGAATGTAGGCTTTTCTTTTTCCTCCCTTTAATACTTCGTCCTTTCTTTAGCTGAGCAAGAAATTTTTTAATCTCAATTAAATACATTATTTGTTACACAAGGGGTACATTTGATAAAAATGGAAAAAAGAAGTGGAAGGAGTAATGTGGTAACTTTTTTTCCTCGGATAAAATTGGCGTGTTGTAACAAACTTTAACCTTTTCAAATCACCTTTTGCTGTTCTTATTTCACTGGCATACTTTACTAAATCTTGTTTTTAATTTTTAAGCGGCTGTTTTGCTAAAGGAAAGCAGATGAGTTCTTGTTTTAAGCTGGTTCACAGAAAACGGCACTTCATTTCGTTCCTCATAATTTTATGGTTATAATCCTGAATGAACTTATCGAGAGGACGCACGAAATTGTTCGGATTGCTTTGCTAGTCAATAGATGAGAATATCCTTATTTGAAACTTCCAAAAATGCGCTTTGTTGTTCTTCTCATAATGACTTACCTACCTTATATTAATCAGATTTTATTAGTTTCTCAAATTGAAAGAAGCATTTCCAATTAGCGCGAGAAGAAGGGATACACTTTGTGGGAATGATAGTATCTTTGAAGCCTGTAAGTAATACATAGTATCAAAAAATAGAACTGCCATCTAGCTTTCAAGTTTCTAACATCTCAAAGCATCTTTGCAGCTTTCAGTTGTAGTGTCTAAACAAAATGGGGAAACTTTTTGTGCGTCAAATAAGCAGTTTTTTTAAGGAGGTGGATAATTTAAGATTTATAAAATCTGTGGACATTTTTAAAAGGATGCTGTTTCTGTACCATCATTAGCAGTAGTACAGGACTCACAAAGCAAAAAAGACGTGATTTGCAGTTTTTTTTTTTTTTGATTGAAAAATCGCCAAAACCCGCTACAGCGGCAACTTCTAGCGTTTTTTGATGTAGCCGGTATGCTAACCACTCTTCAGAAAAAGTCACCAAAAAACCAGAAGCTGTTTCATTCTGCTCGATATTAGACTGCGTGGAGACACCAAAAGCCAAAAGCACATCAGTCAACTCTCCCATCAAATGTATTAAAAAGGTATGGGCTGTTGCAACAGTGGTTCTATTAATAACAGAAATTAATGGCGTGAAAATTTTATTCTTAGCAGATGTTTATCTCGCATAAGGTATAAGATGGCAGGAAGTCATAAATTCAGCTGTAAAGATCCAGTACCAAAGCTATCGTGACACTTTTAAATAATAGCTTCAAGCATTGTATCTTGAGTTGCCAACATCGCTTGTCTCTTCATGAACTGTCATCACGAAAGATCACTGTCGAATCTCTCTCGGCAGGCATTTTAAGTTTCGATCCGAAGATAGGTATATAAATTGATAGTATTCGGTTCAATGGGCACCACTAGTCTGAACATTCAATTTATTTATTTCGCTTCGTATTGCCCAAAACCACTTTGCATTGATTGAATAAATACATACAGAGGCAGCAGCACTAGCGCCACATGGGGACCATATCATCTCCTTTATATAATATGAAGTCATCATATTTTTCGATAAACTGCTTCTCGATTCGACAGCATTCATCTTAATGTCTGTTTGAGCTCTAAGCTCCGCTAATATCTCCTCAATATTTTATCAAACACTAATACTATCACAGTCTTTACCGGAATCAACCATCCTTTATTTTGTTAACCAGTTCAAAAATCAAAATAGTTTTTCAGAAATAAGCAGAAGATGCAGAGTCAAGCATTCCACATGAATGGGTTTGGTGTGGTAGCTAAGATCACTTTTACACTGGAAAGATTTCATCATTTTTATCACCAATTAACAAAAGAGAAATTCTTTCCCAGTAACAGATGGTAATATGAATACCAATTTTAATCTAATCTTGCGGTTTACAATACTTTATTTTACAGTAACTCTTCAACATTTATCTTTGGGAAGGTGGAAAGGGGATGAATTGTTTTTTTAAACAACTAATTTGTGGATGATAGGATCACTGTGATTACTTCTGAGTCAGTGTAGTAGGTATAAACATTTCACATATCTCATATATATAGTGAATTAGGCTGATTAGAACAGGATATTGATAAATGGTGGGAAAAGAGGTGTGGTACTATTCACTACAATGCTTATGTTCCGCATTACGAATGCTTTTGTTCTGCAGTATTGATACTTGGGTAATTCGTACTCAGGTGTTTGAGGTGCTGGTTGGCTGTTTGTTTCGTTTGATTTCAATTTAGAAAATTCTTCTTTGCTTGTCTCAACTGATATGTATTCCCCTCACACTTTCCTGTACTGTCGTCTAAGTTCTCCCATTCCCTTTGATTTTTTCATCTTACCTATATATTCCTTTTTCCGTTTGATTTTTTGACGGCAACTTTATTCATCTAACGAAAAAATTTCCCACGCATATTAAGCAATATTCATTGTCTTTTATTCAGTTTGAACTTCACTGAAATTTTTTACCTATTAACGTATTGATCCAATGATACAGAAAAGTGTTTCAGTATTTTCGGAGATGCAATCTTACTTTACGTCATGATTTTTTCTTAGCAAGAAGCTGGATTTGTACTTTTGATGTGTACTTTTTTGGTCCAAAAGACAGAATAGCTGTGTGAATAGTTATATGCTCAGTTTATTTCTGATTTTTCTAGAAGTGATAGTACATCTGATTAGTGGCTCAAAAATTCTCTGAGACTAGTTTGTACCTGAATATCTCAGGATTATATACCGAAATTTTTGAAAATCAGACGATATCTATTGTTGGTATATAGTAATTTGGAAAGCTTACAAAGTACAGTTCTCTCGCTTTTCAATTAAACAGGCTCTGTTTACTTCTCATTTTCATTTCCAAATATCACAGTTATATTGGACAAATGTATCATTTCAGAAACGAAAGCAGAATTTAGTGAGCACAAAACAGTGGTACATTCAACGAAGACCGATGGTGAGCCAACGATGGCCGAACTGTGTCCTCTCTGTCCATGCAAATGTATCGAACTGCGTACACACCTTGCTGAGGTATCTTTTTCTTTTCACTGATCCATTTGAATATTTTCTCCCTGATATGCTGGAAATGAAATGTTGAACGAGTTCCATCTCTGCTTGCTTCAAATCATTCTTATTCTGAGAATAATTCTTAAACATCTAAAAACTAGTTCTTTACATGGCAGAACTTTGTAAGATTATACCGAGATGATGTTGACACATTCTGTAGAGCATATAGAAACCGAATTCCTTCAATTTTCCAAGAATGAGGTTAGTTAGTTGCATAGGTTTACTGCTATAGAGTAAAATACATCCTCGAAGTCAATCGAATACTTATTTTCCGAATTATGACTTAGGAGGTGTGAGAAAACTGAGTTAGTGTTTCTTTCGTACTTAAATATTTTAACTTGATCATATTCCTGTCCAATCTTTGGATAAAACTCTTAATCTTTTGTAATGGTAAAAAAAACGGAGGCAAAATTGAAAAAGTAAATCCCTCGGTGACTTTCGCAAAAGGATTATTTGAAATCTGTTGGCTAATGTTTTAAAAATAATGATAAAATCTATGGTCACGTCATACTTTTATTTTTCTAAACAAAATTATTTTCAATAACTTTAAAAATAGTGGGCCATGATAGCAACACCGTGGAAAGAATTGCCTGCTTGGAAGTTAAAATCATTAAAAATCATTCGCCCGAGGAATTTTTTAATTGTTTTAAAACTTTAATTGATTTCATCCCGCTTTACCTCATCTGTTGACGATGCTCCTCTGTCATGTCTTTCTTCCTCCATTTATTGCAAAATTTATTCGGAATTTAAAGCAATAAGAAAATGGGTTGGGATACTTTTGTCTTTAAAGGGTAATAGACATCTCAATGTTCAATTAAAGGAATGATGGTCAGTCAGGCCACACTCTTTCCAAAAGAGTTCGCAAATGTCGTTTTTAAACTGAGATTGCGCATATGTCAGTTCAGTTAGAGCATTACTGCACTAAGCTGCGATAATTTAACACTTGTATGTTAACAGTAGGATCTACATATAAATTGGAATCGAAAAATGAAGTTCGATTACTTTTTCTCTAACACGAAGCTGAACAATTGTGGGAGAAGTGCAGTCAAGTTTCTTTAGAACTGCTATTGCATCTATTTCGTCGTCTTTTCCATTAAGCTAATGAATAAGCCACATGAGCAGAATTTCAATTTATGAAGGTAATTTGTTTGTACACTAAGGACAAGCTCGAAAACCTGATTTTGGAACTAATATAATCACTCTTCACTAATATATCATCAAGCAATGACAATGACAACACTGCCAATCTTCGGCCAGTAAATATCCATATAGCAAAAATGCTGCGACTTCAACTGCACCAAATGTTGTGTTTCTGCATGTCTCAGCCTTTAAAATATAACATCCTTGTTGATTTCAAAACTGCCTAATGGTTTTAATTTCAAACTATTGAGTCTACTGATTTTGAGTTGTATTATTATTTTATTGTTTTCAGGAACATAAGATAGCGGAAGAAGCGATTAAGCGGCTGCTTTTGAGTACTGCGTCATCGAGTCTGCTCAACGATTCAACATCTGATAAGAGGTAACCCTCAACATTTTTTTTTTCCTATAAATCAGCTCGGTGAAGTTGATACGTACTTTCTTCTTTTTTTTGCTATAAATCAAAGAAGGTATTATCACTCGAAGCTGGAAGGGAATATTTTTATATTTTAATGTTATGGACCGAAGTGTATATGTATGTATATGTATATATATGGCTTATGGAGAATGCATGGGCCTTGTGATAATAGATTCATGCATTTTCAGTGTGTGTTAAAATTCAAGGTTATAGAGAGAGTCATAAGTAATACTTGTGAGAATCACAAGAAATTGACCACATTTTTGATGATTGTCTAGCCAATCCCGATGTATTTTTTGTAGTCGACCAATTGATGTCGTTCGAGACTTCACATCGTACTTCCAATGTTGGTGCCAGACATAAGCATGTTTTTTGTGTATTATCTGATTCTAAATCAATTCCGTCTTGATCACTACGAATCTACGTGGTAGTATCATATACAAGAGATACACCATGTCTTGGAAGTAACTTTATTTCCCTCTATTTGATTATGTTTGTTGTTTAAAAAACTGATTACTAACAGATTTGGCGATAAGTGGGATTAAAATTTGTGAGAAGTAGGGGTAAGAGAATTGTGAAGTCGATAGATAATTATGTATTTAAAATGCGACTGTTTTTTAGCGCTATAAAAGCAGTTCATCAATAGGTAAACTTGACTTCAACAAGCTGTTCAAAAATGAGTTAGGTAATTGAGTTAGAATGAAAATAAGTGCGGGAAATTAGAAATTAAAAAGTCATATGTGTTACTGTCATTAAAACACGTCTAAAATATGATATACGTTCGATGCAATTTTCGCTCGTCGCGAGAGAGCTTTCTTTTCATAAAATGCCGTATTTCATTCATGACGTATTTTTGTAAAGAGCAAAAGCAGTAGCGGCGTTTTAGTGGTTCGAAATCTGCCTGTTTTTTACAGCCATTTTCCCAGCCGCATCATTTGATAGAGGCTGATGCTGTACTCTTTTGCGTTTCCTCATCCTATCCCTTCGGTTTGCACTAATTTCCATAATTCCACCAATTGTTTGTGTTGTAACAAGCAATGCGCTCGATTAAGATGACACCACTTCTCTTTCTTCCCCTTTTTGAAAGTTTAAATCTTATTTCCAACTTCATTTTTAATCTCCCTCAATTAACTGTTCGTCTCCGAGGAAGTGAAAGCTTCGTTTTATCGGTTCAATGAAATCAGTCCGTGCAGTTTTTAATTGCATGTTGCAATTAATATAATAAATGTTTGGATTGTAAAAATCGTCCAATATACACTTGTACGAGATACTTTGTCGTCCAACCTTGTTCTACGGTAGTATCTATCTCAGCAAGCAGACACGCAACACAGCGTGCTTTTCCACCACCAGCGTTGCATACTAGTGCCAAAAACATCGATTGTCCTCAAATTTTCTTTTACAAAAACATGTTATCAAAAATACACATGGCATTACATAATGATGAGAATAGCTTTGAAGTTGGGGAATGATTGCTTAATTTTATACTTGATGGAAAGGTAGATTTTGGCTCATTTTTCTGGTGCCGTGAATCCATCAGTCAGGAATACTTCCCTCTCCAAAAATTTTTAAATGCGGCAAACAATATGCAGTTTTTCTATACCTTCCCAACTTGGGATAGGTTTTTCTATTTGAAGCATGCAAATTCTTAGAACATTTCCAAATGTCGTCTTTCGCAATCCGGAAAGCAACACGAATTCTCTTTTTTCCAGTGAAGAATACCGTATAATGTTTCAGTAACGTGTCCAGTAATTGCTAGTTTTTGATAAACGGAAGTGTTCCTAATAACAAGTATTTTGAAGCTCTTTCATAGTTTTCTGAATTTAGGTTCTTTGCTTTAACTCAAAATGTCATAATGGAGTTAATAGCCGTGCCTGAAATCTTGAAAGAGAAAGCTTGTGCACCCATATCAGATCTTCCGATTTAGTTTAACTTTCTGACTTCCACAAGAATGAGATGCTAAGTGTAATCAGATTGATTGGTAAGAATAATAAGATTTATAGGCCTTTGACAATAAGGTTTTATATAATAATGAGGTTTATAGGTCTATAGGCCTTTGATAATAAGATTTTATAGGTTTATAGGCCATCCAATGCTTCCCATTTCTGATGCAGCACGAAATTAGCTTGCTTAAAATCTGTTTCAGAAATTACGTTCGTGTATAGTTTTCTTATTATTCAAAAAAAGATATATGATTGGAAGTACTGTTCCTTCATATCTCTGAAATGGTTTGCCTAGCTAACTTAATTTCGAAGTCATCCTCTGCATGTCGCAAGATGGTGGCAGTAGTTTTTCTGGTTCGTACTGTCTTGAATTGAAATTCTTTAAATTTGCTATAATTCACCATGTCTAATAGTTCATAATGTTCCGAAAGTTACCGTGCCGACATCGGTGCAATTATTATTATAGGGGATAGGGAAAGGGAGGTTCAACATCGCAGGAGACGACTCCTATCTCTAGTTTTGGAGTTTAATTGGAATTGCTAATGAGAAAAGGAAAGCCGTTTATGTGGTTGGTGGTGCTTTATACTTTTGATTTATTTATTGTATCATTTTGTAGACAGAATGTCTGCTCCGGATGGGTTTTGCTGCTAATCTGTCCATCGTTCACAGTTGTTAATTTATTTCTACCTTTTTACAACTTGTTTATGAAAAATAAAATTTCTACAAGGAAATAAAGTCTCTTCAAATTTGTTGCTTGTTGTTCACGGATTTCATTGATGGTCTGGTAGTTAACTATGGAGCTCGCACCTCACCTATTACTCATTTCACTAAGAGCTCTTTATTACCATCATTATCTCTATTACAGTCAAATTTAACATGTGCAAGGCACACTAGATCTTGCATTCTAGAGCTTCTGTAGTATTCTGGTTCCAGTCTAGAAGCCAACACTCGACGAAATATCAGTATTATTTTTGTCACTGTCATCGTTATCACAATTTTGTCATTGTTGTTACCAGGGTTGTCACGTTGTTATTTATGATCTGTTATAAATGAGTAACCAAATTTATAGTTCGAAAAAGAAAACGGATCGACAAATCTACCGTTACCATTGCTCACAGTGCTCGTTGGCATTTCGTACCGAACAACGTCTTGCCAGCCACACTTTGCACCATACATTCCGGTCCAGTACCCGTTGTACCAAATGTGATCAGAGCTTTCGCTCTCACGAAATGCTGAAAAAGCACAATGCTCAGGAACATACCAATGGTCAGTTTTTCTATTTGAATCTTTTTAAAATCAGTTTCCTATTTGTCCGGAGTTTTCCCCAAACCAGTAGCTTGAAATGTAAACCCTTTCCCTGATATTTCTGAAGTCTGTCCCATGAACTAAATGCACAAGATCTTAGTGAGTCTTCTGCACTACTAACATTCTGTGGAATTTAGATAGCATTTCCCCATTATTATTCATCAAATAATGTAGGCTGTAATTTGGAGAACTTGAAACATTTGTACCAAAAAACTGTTTTTTAGGTAAAACTTATAATTCACCGACCACAAGCTCTTGCCATTCCCAGTCAATCGAGGCAACGGTCGAGGATAAAACTGAGACCAGTCTTGTTGATCCGTTAAGGTTACTTCATTAATCCAGTTTTATAACTATATTAATTTCAAAATTTTTGGACCACCTATTTCCTGAAGGAATATGAGAGGTTCGGGGAGTATATTAATTAATGATTAGTTCAAGAATTATGCATCCTCATAGCGCTTGCTTAATGCATATTGCTTCGATTATTGACAGCGAATTGATGAAATTTGTGACCTGAATCCTGTTAAATCGGAAGAATTAGTAGTGTCATAAATTGCACTTCTAGACCCTTCAAGTGTGAATTGTGCAGGGAGAATTTTGAGCAAAAGCATCAACTGCTGATGCATTATAACTCAGTAGTGCATCTTCATAAGGCTAAGAAAATGCTCGAGGAACAGTCGAGTAACTTTCAACCTAGTGCACAGGTTAGAATTTTCATCTTTATTGGTCTTTCTTTTCCTCTTTTAATTTTTGATTCCTAATTTCAATTCATTTCATTTTGTAGACCGCTAAATTGATTCAATAAATCAATAATTTCAGCACTATTTTTCAGATACTGGCAGCACTGCAAGCCTCAACAAGTTCTCAGTCGTTACAAGGAGGCTCTAAACCATTCAGATGTAATCTATGCAAAATGGGTTATGGACAGGGTTCTACTTTAGACATACACATAAGGTATCCGGAAGTTTTAAACTGTAAATGCATTTGTTGTTTTTAAATGTTCTGAATGCAAGTACACTCTTGATAAAAATTCCTGGTTTTACTACTTCGTGATTACTATTTTTCAAAACTATACAGTTCATAGCTCTGGGTTAATCATCTCATGATAGAATTTTTATTCATAACTGAAGGTGACTTCTTTCATGTTAACATCTGAAATTTTGAAATTGGCGTTTTTTAAAGAACAGAATTATTGCCATATTTTTTTAATTCTGCATTATGATATTATGATCTTTTATTTTTTTTTTATCACATTGTGATTTTTAACTCTACATTTCCTTAGATTGATATTGTGCTCTTCTTACCTGACAGACTATATTTACATGGACATAAACACTATTGTTAGAAATTAGCAGTAATTGGATCACAGTATGATAGTGGTATGATTTTGGTCATCTGATGCGTTTTGAGCTTTCCAGATCTGTTGCACATCAGTCGCGCTTGACCAAAATAGCTGAACTCTTAGCGCAAGGTGAAATTGATGGCTGCAAATCGATCGTAGAGCAACCAGGCGGTGCAACACAAACGGCATTAGCTGAATTAGCTGTCAAACATGATTCTACTACTACCAATCCATTGCAGGTACATTGATTTTTTTGGGTAGAATTTATCTGATAGGTTAGTTAATGAGGTTTTCGCATCACATGGCGTTATTGGTTAACGACCCTTTATAAAATATATATCTTGAAAGGAAAGTTTTGTTGACATATGTAAGCTCTTCCTCTATCTCTCTCAGTGCCACTTCACCATTATTAACGGCATATACTTGTATTACATTTAATTATTCAGGCTACATTTCCGTGTTTCTAGAGCTTTTATTGCAGAAATTTTCATACCTTCATCATGTATCTTCCTAATTACTCCAAATTTATCATACTTCTTGCCGAACTTCACAACGCCTCACACAGTATCACCATAACATTTAAAATTATTACAAAAAATACTGTAGTAAGTCATTGCTATTGAAAGTATATTACAACCTTCAGGAGCAATGCGTGATAAGATTTCAAGAATTAATCGGTAATGTTATGTCACAGCTTGCACTTCCGAAAGCTTCCGCAATATTTTTTTAGCAATTATAATGTCTCGCGTTACTATTAATAAAAATAATGCTTTGGGAAAGAACCCTGCTGATTCCTGGGTATTCTCCTTCTGTAGATTTAAATCTTAACTTTGATTCACATGCCGAAAAGTTTACAGAATTAATCATTGAATTCATTATTCTGTCTTAGTCCATTGCACTCCCTTCTTTTTCTCCTCCTCTCACAGTTCCCAACACTTTGATCAAGTGGGATGACTGAGGTAGTAGATGGTTGTTGATGATGCTCCGGTCGCTTGCCATTGATTTTCCCCATTTTTTTCAGACATTCCTGTACATATGACACGCTTGGAAATTTTCAGTCTTAAACTCCAAGTATTTACATGTGCGCTGTTAAATTTCATCACAGCGAAAACATTATATCATATGAAAATGAATTCTTGTTTATGCAAAGAGTGTGACTGACTGTACGTGTATGCGTGCGCGCCTGCTACCGCGTCACACTCTACATTGCTTGAAGTTTCATGATCTTTTAGTGCTGCCACGGTGTTATACTGAATCCGTCACTATTGCCGGTTGATCTTATTATTACTGAGGGGAAGCGTTTTCCCGGTTCTCTGGAGTTGAGTATTATTCACTGAAGGAGGTCCATCTCCGCAGCATATTTCGCTCGGTCATCAGTTGGCGGATTCTTGCCATCTTTTGTTGAGAGAGACTAACGTGATGAAGTTCCATCGGCCATTTACATATCATATTTCACTCCCTTCCAGTGGACTGCGAAGAATTTGTGATGGCTCAGTCGGCTTCACTTCATCACTTCTTTCTCTTCTCTCCTGTTGAAAGTTGTATATTCTCTGCATTGTTTCAAACTCTCACCTTCCATCATACTCACTGTCTTTTGTGCCACTAATCTTACGTCTCTTTATAACACACTTATTTCCTCACAATTGTTTCTCCGACCTCTCTCTTTCACATTATCAGTTTCACGCTCTCATGGGCATTAACCATAACAATAATTACCGTATAATCTGACGGATAAATGATAAATTGTGTCTATGTGTATGTGCGTGTATATATATATTGAAAGGGGAACAGACATATATGGTTATATCTAGTGATTCGATCCGTTTGTGCGGGCCCCAATGTTGTCTGTGTCAGTTTTCGGGTTTGGTCCTCCGAAGATGTGCAAGAAATTTCAGGAAATCCAAAAAAAGTTGACAAAGTTAACAAAGGGCCAATATCAAGCATCTCATTCTTTCCCTACTCTCCCTGTCTCTCTTCCTCTCTCTGCTACTTTTCATGGCTTTACACAAAACAACGTTACTGAAACATTCATTTAAAAAATCCAAGACTCAGAAGATTGGAAGCTTGGATTCCTTGTTATTTGAGATGTTTCAAAGCGCACAATCAGTATCGCCCTCCGTAGTAGTACTTCTTTTTCTTATAATATCCATAAAATTTTTAAATCTCGCAGATATTCATTTGGAAAAATTTCCGTGCTAGTGTTCATTGTTTGGTAAGGTATGAAGTGATAAAGTCAACATCGAATACTCCACAAATTACTTGTATTGACTGTAGCCCTGTAATATGATATTTGTTCCACTATAATATTTGTTTCACCCTAACATCGGCTTTGTTTTATCCTTTGCAAGCTTATCAGTTTCAATTTTTTTTTAGATAAATCTCATATAGGAGTTTTTCCAATTTGCTTTAGTTCCGGCATGGTTCAAATAATATCTTTGAAGAAGGAACCAACTATCAATCCAGCTGATACGTGTTACTGACAACAAATCCTGATTTGGTGGCTTTACCGACTCTTCACTCCTTATCCAAAGATATACATAAATTCCTCTGTCAGGAATGAAAATACTAAATTTGGAAAAGTAGTTGATTTCTGATTCAGAAAATTCACTGTTGCAGAATGGGTTGGAACAACAGCAGCAGTCAGCTTTAGCAATGATCAGCATGTTGAATATGGCGCAGCTTCTATCGATAGCATCCGCTGGTCAGACTGCTCTACCGAACGACATCTCAGCAGCAACAGCTTCTCAAGCTCAGACAGCATTAGCAAGCATAGCCGCTGGATTTTCGCCTATCATCGCCCCATTTGGAACGCTGAGTTAGTTGCTTCTACAGATTAACTGGCTTTCTTGCAGAACCAGAAAGAATTGCTTATAACTCATCATGTATGAAATGCTTAACATCACACGTTAGTTTCAGCTGATTGCCCAGATTGGAATTACCAGGTCCGTCTTCACTGATTTCCTTTCTTTAATTAATGGGCGGGAAAATCCTGAGATGCCGCACAATCCGGTTAAAAATCCTCTTTTCTTGCGTTTTTCTGGCTCTTTCGTCATATGATATAAAAATCTGTC